GCAGGGAGCCCGATGCGGGACTCGATCCCGGGACTCCAGGATCATGACCTGAGCCGAAGGCAGACGCTTAACCAACTGAGCCACCCAGGCACCCTTGTTTTGTTTTTTAAGCTTTTATTTATTTATTTGAGAGAAAAAGAGCATGCACAGGGGTAGAGGCAGAGGGAGAGAGAGAGGGAGAAGCAGACTCCCCGATGAGCAGGGAACCTGAAGTGGGGCTCGATCCCAGGACCCTGGGATCATGACTTGAGCCGAAGGCAGGAGCTTAACCCACTGAGCCACCCAGGTGCCCCGAGAATTTGTGTTTTGGAGACCTGTTATGTTTTGTCTCGTGTTTTTTCTCCTTATTCCTGAATTTTATTCTTATCTTATACTATGATTTGGAAGTTTTGCTTACTACCATGCCTGCTTTCTTGCAGATTTTCTATTTTGTACATACGTTATTTTGTATATACTGTATATGATGACTTCGGTGAGCAGTGACCGTTCCCGAGGTGCTCGGGAAAAAACACAAATTTCAGCGACACAGGCATCACAGCTACAGAAACAAGTAGTACAGGTAAGTTTTTGTGGAACTCTTGTGTAGAGTTATGTTAATTAGGGAGCACATACTCTCCTTTGTTGGATACCTTAGGATTTTGAATCTTGTTTTTATTCATTTTTTTTTTTAAAGATTTTATTTATTAGAGAATGAGAGTGAGAGCATGAAGGGGGAGGGTCAGAGGGAGAAGCAGACTTCCCGCCTAGCAGTGAGCCTGATGCGGGACTTGATCCTGGGACTCCAGTATCATGACCTGAGCCGAAGGCAGAGACTTAACTGACTGAGCTACCCAGGTGCCCCCCAAATCGAGCATTTTATACACATTTTTGACTAGATTTGCAAACCCTTTTTCAGAGGCCCATCATAAATTTCAGATTGACGATTTGATTATACTTTGACAGCTAATTACAAGTACTTTTTTATAATCAGTCATAACCAAGTGCCCTGTTGATGTTAAGGGAGTAAGGGAGACAGAGAAAGTAGACTCTATTGTTGCTTTACATTTTTCTGTATAAGGTTAGCCTTAAATTTTGCTTCTATCAATAGACTTAAAACTCTGCTGTTCAGTGCTTGTTCCTAAATACATTTACCCCGATAATTATTCACAACTGATATGAAAGACTACCTCTTGTTGGAAAAATTTTGACTTTTTATACTAGACCCTCCTTTTGTAGGTGAATGCTTAAGAGGCTATTCATGAAACTTTTTTTTTTTTTTTAAGATTTTATTTATTTATTTGACAGAGAGACACAGTGAGAGAGGGAACACAAGCAGGGGAAGTGGGAGAGGGAGAAGCAGGCTTCCCGTGGAGCAGGGAGCCCGATGCGGATCTCGGTCCCAGGATCCTGGGATCATGACCTGAGCCTAAGGCAGACGCTTAATGACTGAGCCACCCAGGTGCCCCATTCATGAAACATTTTCTTATCAAAGAAGAAATACAATTTATGAGTAATCATAGGTGCAACCCTGTTTATAATCAAATATAAAATAAAACAACATTTTGTTGTTGTTCATCCAGTCAGTCAAGATTAAAAGTGTAATCTTTTAGGGGTGCCTGGCTGGCTCAGTCGGTGGAGCGTGCGACTCTTGATCTCACATTGTAAGTTTAAGCACCACATTGGGTGTAGAGTTTACTTCAGAATAAAATCTTTTTTTAAGTGTAATCTTTTAGGGTTGTTGGGTGGCTCAGTTGGTTAAGCGTCTGCCTTTGGCTCGGGTCATGATCCCAGGGTTCTGGGGTGGAGCCCACCATTGGCCTCCCTGCTCAGTGGGGAGCCTGCTTCTCCCTCTTGCCCCTGCTTATTCTCTCTCTCTCAAATAAATAACATCTTTTAAAAAAACTAAAAAAGAAAAAAAAGTGTAATCTTTTAAAGAGGGCCAAATGAAATGTTGGGAATGTAAATTGTTTCTGTCTCCCACCCAAGTAGAGTCCTTGGGCTGATTTCCAGTGAATCAGTCTCCAGACTGGAGGAGGGAGGGCTCTCTTCCTCCCAAGGGTTGTTGTCACTAATAGTTTTCCATGGGCACTTTGGGGACGGCTCATTTTATGTAAGTAGATGAAAAACTGCCCACTGAGCTGTGGGAAGGATTCTTAGACCTTTACATTCCTAGTTTTCCTTTTTAAAAAAGTATGGTGAGAATTTCTCAGAAAAGCAGTATGAATAACATTGTTCATGTTCATTTATGCATGAATCCCATTCTAGGAAGTATTTCCTAAGGAAGCAACCTTAAACTGGGGGTGGGGGTAGCGCTTTATTCTGTAAGATGTTTTTTGCCCAGTTCTAAATGTCCAAAGGTAGGTTATCTCAGAACACCTCTATCAAAGCAGAGGGATGTAAGAGAGAAGACCATTAACTCTTAGATTCTGAATAAAGTGGGTCTGTCACTTTACCAACTAGATGAATTACTTAAGTCTCTTTGAACCTCACTTAAAAAAAAAAAACCCAAAAAACATGCTTTGAGATTTAAATAAGAATAGTACACATAATTCCTGAATATCCTTCATCCAGATCTCCCAGATATTAACATTTTTACCATGTTTATATTTTTCCTCCTTCCTCCAAAAAAGAAACTACATACAGTTTTTCCCCACAGCCTTTTGAGAGTAAGTTGTAGATGTGGTAAATACCACATCTGAGTACTTCAGTATGTTATTTGTCAAAGACATAATTACAGAACAGTTATTAAAAAATCAGGAAATCAACTCATGTAATCTACGGACTATATTACTGTAGTCCCAGTTGTCTCAATAATGTCCTTTTTTTAGCTAATTAAGTCCTTTATCATACATTGTATTCAGATGTCCGTTCTCTTCATTTTTTTTTTTTTAAAGATTTTATTTATTTGAGAGAGAGAGACACAGCCAGAGCAGGAACACAAGCAGGGGAAGTGGGAGAGGGAGAAGCAGGCTTCCCGCGGAGCAGGGAGCCCGATGCGGGGCTCGATCCCAGGACCCTGGGATTATGACCTGAGCCGAAGGCAGACGCTTAATGACTGAGCCACCCAGGCGCCCCTCTTCAGTCATTTTTAATGTGGAACTTCCTTTCCTCTGATTCATAACATTGACCCATTTGAAGAATATAGGGCAGTTACTTTGTAGAATAACTATCAGTTTTAGTTTGTCTGAGATACTCATAATTAGAATTATGCATTTTTGAAGATTTATTTATTTTATTTTATTATTTTTTTAAGATTTATTTATTATTTGAGAGAGAGTGCGCAGAAGTAGGGGGTAGGGGCAGAGGGAGAAGCAGACTCCCCGCTGAGCAGAGAGCCAGATTCGAGACTCGATCCCTGGGTTCTAGGATCACAACCCAGAGCTAAAGGCAGACACTTAACCGACTGAGTCACCCAGGCACCCCAGAACTCCAGATTTTTAAAATGTGACATGGAGGGGCGCCTGGGTGGCTCAGTCGGTTGAACGTCTGCCTTTGCTTTGGGTCCTGGGATCCACAGAGGTGGGCTCCCTGCTCAGCGGGGAGTCTGCTTCTCCCCTCTCCCTCTGCCCCTCCACCTGCTGCTTTCTCTCCCTCCCTCCCTCCCTCTCTCTCTCATAAATAAATAAAAGAAAAGTGACTTTTCAGGATGGTTGTAAGGAATTAGAAATGGTGTAGGTTGTATTCAGGAATTGTTAACCTTTACTCATTGTATATTCCACGTAAGTTATGAAATGATTATAATACCGTTTGAAATTATGTTGGAAAATGCCTGGTTCCTGATAAACTGAGACAGGACCCAAAATTATAGTATAGAACGACTGTTAAAACAAGAAAAAAAAAAAAAAAAGACAAGTAGACTATGTTAATAATGTTTATCTTTGGGTGGTAGGCATAACGATGATTAAAAAAATCGTACTTCGGGGCACCTGGGTGGCTCAGTTGGTTA